GAGAGAGAGAGAGAGAGAGAGAGAGAGAGAGAGAGAGCGGAGCAGTCTGACTTGCATGGCTGTTCACGCACACAAAATCAGTCAACGGTCGTAAATAGCGGCGAGAGAAAAATTCCATGTAAAAACAAGGCTTGAATGTTTATTTGTAATCAGCTCTACAATTGCAAGAGAGCTCTATAATTCAACTTCGATCACCGTTAAAAATCCAAAAGGGGCCCTATACGCGGCGGGCAATCTTCTATCGATCACAAAAAAAAGAGCTGAAAGTAAAACTTCTGTAGTAGTGACTTAGTAGTCTGGTTAGGGGTGACGAATGCGTCACGTCCTGGAAATAAAACGTGAGTTAATTTTTTTATTCATTAAATTTACTATTTATTTGCAACACCAACAAAAGAAATCTCTACGTGGCCAGTTTGAGTAGGATAAACAGATTTAAACTTTCATTAAGTTTGCATTAGGAAAATACGGATATTTCTATTAAGCTGCTGTTTAGAGCCGACTGTCTTTTAAGCAATCAATTTTAGATCCTTAGGGAACCACGCACAGAACAGAAACTATATAATTTGCAGCGTTTTTGCGTGTGATGTAAGATTCAACTTCTGTAAAATTCAAGTTTTAATATTCTCTTCAAATAGAACCCTTTAATCTATTAAAAAAAAACAATTTTTTCACAGATTAACTAAAAGTCTTAAATAAGAACATCTTGTCATTCTGTTGGATACTCAAATATTAAGACTTAAAACTTCGAAAAGTGAATTAAGAAGTGTTATCATGAAACAGGAAGCAAACAAGCAATTACTGTATTAAACTTATTTACCGACCTCTGACTTTCTGTGTTTCAAGAAGATGAACGATAACTTGCCTAGGCGCTCTGAACACATTTGACAACTTCTTCATTAACTTAAACGACAAAATTTGTATATCTGACGGCTAGGTAAGATAAATATTTTACAGCGTTATTTCAACAATTTCATCGTTGTAGAACCATTCATACTCAATGGATTTTTCCGCTATATGTGGGACTTTAAAGTTCGCTACCGTCATGTCCACATAATGCAGTCATACAACAAATAACCTTTTCGCTGATAAAGGCAATGACAATGGTTTGAAGTTTAGTGAGGCTTGAAGGTCGCTGTAATTAGCGCTGACTTTGCTGATGACCGGAAGTGATCTGCGTTGAAAAACTTTTCTTGTTAAATTTTTGTTTGCTTCTCTATCTGGTAGCAAATATGTATAATCATGTCTTCAACATGAACACAAGGCAAAGACAACGTTGATACCATACCTACAGCTTTCAATTTTTTAGTCCTATGTCTATGTTATCAGCATGAATAAGATTGTACGAGACGAAGCATTACTTTAACACTCGACCGAGCACGAAACACTTCCTCTACGTCAGCAGTTTATTTCATTTCCTCCGCGTTAGGATTAATACAAACACGTCCCTGGTCTTACGAAATCGTCGTTTAAAATTTCTCTGATCTTCGCGTCTCTTGCTCTGATCACAATAATTGTTTTATTTTCAGAGAAACTGAGCCCGTTGCCAGGAAAGTTGTTTATCAAAGCAGCTCGTAACCATTTCCGCTTGAGCTCGATTTCACGCACGCGCTGGATCATAAACGGTATAAACAACCTCAAATCTCATAGCAACCCTAAGCCAATCACAACTCTGGATTCGGCGTCTGCTGATAATACGATTAGATCATAGCAACGAATTGACCAATGAAATGGAAGAAAGTTGTTTATAGCTCTTTGTTACTTTGATTAATTCAGGTAGAAGAAAATAATAGCCGGCATCGATGCTCACTCTTCACATTTATTCGTGCCTGCTTGCAACGTGCGAGTGCCTCCACTTGCTATTTAAGAAAGGGAAAATTGCTCCGCCGTGAACACTGTTTAACGCCGCGATATCTCCATTTTTATCATCACAGTTTCCGACTCACGATAATGCTTTTTACTGTTTCAAAGTGCTCTTACTTAGCAAGCTGATAGATCGCTGTAAAGTTTTGGACACATTGTTCTGTTTAATCAAATTCTACCGGGTGGAACGACTGTTAATCAGTCGGACGGGTTTAGAGTTTTCGAAAACTGATCTTAATCAGCGAGACCCAAGACGCTTTGGCTTACTTAGCATTTTAAACGTTTCGTCACTCATCTACTTCATATTATCCGGTGTGGCAAATCTGATCTACGAACGTGCAAGGAAGAACGCTCACTTACCGTGGAAATCGACATTAAATTCGTTCGATTTGTAACTTGTGGCAACTGGCTCACGGGAAATACAGCAGTCGAGCACATTGACTATCCTAGGATCTAGACTTCATCCACCGATCGCAAAAAGATCTCAAACGGGACAGCTGCCTGTAATATTACATCAGTTACTCGGCACTGAGATATTATGAACAAAAACATGCCGGTTGCAGTGCAGTCATGTGCTGAAAGATTTGCAGCGAACTGGAAGGCTCAGAATCCTACAGATAAAGAAGAAGAACAAACTTCGCTTGACGATAGTTTAACAAATCTTCAATGGCTTCATAGTATTAACATTCAGGACATTGCGCCAACGACTACCTCAATAGCTCCTTCGCCGAGCCCGTCGTCGAATTCGTGCGACTCCGACGATCACAGTGATTCTAGCGATGGATGCAAGGACATAAATCGTAAGGAGCCGAATATTGATTATAAAAGTGATGCCAACCACAAACCTCCTTACTCTTACGCGACATTAATTTGTATGGCTATGAGAGAAACCAACAAGACCAAGATTACACTGAGTGCAATTTACAAGTGGATCAAAGAAAACTTTATGTATTACAGGGTTGCGGATCCCACTTGGCAGGTAAATAAGAGCAATACTTTAATGTTAAAATTCATTTACCTCGTGAAGGAATAAGTAAAAAGTAGATATGTCCAGTTGTTAATCTGTTTTACGAGAGCCGGCTTTAGTGTTGATGAAGCTCGTTAAGCATATTCATGTATATAATAATGGCCGAAAATTGAAGCGTGAAAAGATTCAAATAAAAGGGCTTTCCTCGAAGTCCTCCCCAATTAATCGTTTGAATTAGTTGGTCAGTTAAGATTATATTTACCCCATTTGGGCAAATTTTTATTTTTCCTTGTAGAAACGTGACTCGCATAGCATGTCAGATTTCTTTTGTTCAGAAGTATGCGAATCGAATCATAAATTGAATATTAAATATTTTGTTTTTACACTTGGATACCATGGCTTTTTGGTCACTTTACGAAATTCAGAGCAAAGTCGTCGAGGAACAGAATTCACTTATTGTTTCCCTTTTACAAAGACATTTACTCTTCTTGTCAGCATAGATGAGGTTTTTTCGGTTAGCGGCCTTAAATGGATTGTTTTACTAACAGTTTCTTTTCCAGGTTGAAAATTTTGTCAGTACGATTCGTAATCTCTTTACTTTCTTACTTTGATAACAAAACCTGCTTTTCAGTAGCGTAATGTATTCATTGTCGTGGGTGAATTTCACATTTCCGCTTCGTTCGAAAAGTAAAGAGAAGTCGTTAACTGCCTGAAGACATCAAGATATTGTCTAGGGACAATTGACGGTAAATTGGAGGTAGAAAATTAATTTAGAGCATTTAGATTTAGGAGTGGCTCAACTAAATTTAAGTTTTGGTACCAGAGAGGTTTTTTCATGCAAATTTAAAATGTTTCCGTGTATTTTTCATATAATGCACACCAGGGAATTATTGAGCTTTTGCAAAGAATTTTCCGCATGTTGCTTACGAAGAATGTAAGTTTAAATAAACGCTACAAAAAATGATCTTTACTCATTGGGTGGTAAGAATCGCCTTAAAAAACCTTTTTGTTTTTTTAATAAATTTGTTGCGCGTGATCCACGGCTTTCAAAATTAGTTGAGAAGATAGCCTTCATTTTTAAAAATACCGTCCACGAGAATTAATATTACGTGATGGGGGCAGCCGTTTGAGAAGACAAGTAAATTATTTTTAAAACTTACAAATGTGATTAGAAAGAATGTTTTGATAAACTCTACACAAAATATTTTCCAATTTCTGCGTCAATTTTGTGTGCCTATCGATTTTCAAAGCGGATGATTCTTTTCGATTTCAAAATAAAATACCGTCTAGTCAAGAAAATTCTCCTTCGAGGTGATAATTTATCATCAGGTGACGAGGTGATAATTGTTGAAGTTACTGATAAAAGTACAAAATGATTTTTCTCCATGCTTGAACTGAAAGCCATTACATCATGATAGCAATATCACAGCAATGCAGTTGTGCATTTCTCAACTGAGAACAACAATATGTGAAACATTATAAAGGAGGTCGTCCTAAGAATAGGAGAAATATACATATCCTGTTAATTATGGAGCAAAGACAATTTGTGTAAAACAGGTATATTAGCATAACAAAGCAGTCTATCACAGTGTTACATGATATTTCAACCCTGACTACTCCAAAATACATTCAGATCTATCCAAAGACCGAATTACCTTCACCAAGCATCATTTATAATATAATCTATCTAATTTCTCTATTATTTGATCTCTTCCTCGCTTATGTGTAAATTCACATTGCAATAACAATGACTGGGCTACATTGCTGAAAATAAGAGAATATTATAACAGTCTGAATATTTCAATTTTTCCCAAACTGGCGTTCATTTGTCGCAAGCTTCGGCCTTAGGAAAAGACTCTAGCAGTTCCTAAACAATGCTAACTGTAATTCTTGTCTAATATTATCCACTTTTTTCTTTGCTTTGGTTTTTACCCCTGGACACCTGCATCTAATATTGAGTTAGTGCTAGGAAAAAAACTTTGCTTCATTTACTCAAACTTGACAAGATAAAATGGTGCAACAAGTTTTACATAGTGCTCTATTTTAAGTCCCTATGGTGAGTGCATAAATGACAACTTGCAGCTGTCAATTGTGTAAATTACCAAATGAAAATGTTAAAAAAAAATAATTTCCCAGTGACACAAATTTGCCTTGATTGAAATGCAAAGTTCTCTTCTTATTCTTTGTCATAGTCCATCTTTTCATAGATATTATGACTTGCGAGAATTAAAAATGAAACCAAACAACATTTTTCCTCACACAAAAGTATTAGAAAAATTTTCTGTGGAATACCCTCCTAAATGAACATATTTCCAAACATGTTACTCCCTGTGCAACAAGTATTTCACAAAACATAGAATGTCATATAATCCAGAGAGATTTTGACAACAAGGCAAATACTTGGGTGTTGACAATCTTAAATTACACTCAGTCATAATTAGACCATTAAATATGAACATTCATTTGTCCTTTAAAACCGTTGAGGCATTTAAAAGCATAATTATACAAATCAAGAGAATGGAATCAAATAATTTGTTATATATCAATTTTCTCCTAACTTTTTCAGAATTCAATTCGGCACAATCTGTCACTAAACAAGTGCTTCGTAAAGGTAGCCAGGAACAAAAATGAGCCAGGAAAAGGAGGCTTTTGGAAAATAGACCCTGCATATGCTGACATGTTTGTGGATGGTGTGTTTAAACGAAGAAGAGGTGTAAATACACAAAAACCTTCAAAGAAAAGTTCCTCAAAACAATGTAAGAAGACTACATCAAAAAGATCAGCAGATTGTCTTACAAGTCCACTTGATGATGACAATGAACCCTGTGACAGAAAGAAATATAAACCTGTAAAAATAAAGATTGAAAGGGATGATGATGATGACTTTTTTAGTGAGGAGGAAGTTGCACCTTTTTCTGGTGGAATAAAGGAAGAGTTTAGTTGGATGACAGTGTTAACAAACGATGAAATTGATGAAAGTATACGAGAGATTGCAGATGCCCATGGAATTTCATTTGAGTCAAGTTCAATTCCAGCAACAGGCCTGTGTGGATTAAGCACACCTGTTTACTTGAGCCCCCCACCATCAACAGACAGTACAACCAATGACAGCTTCCAAGTGGATCCTGAACTTGACTTGACAATAAGGGGAGTGGGACTGTTTCCACCCCGTGAAAACCTGGCAACACCGTCACCAACCACCTTAACGGATACTACACACTCTGTTTTTAACATGCCACCCTCTCCTCCCTTGATGTATGAAGAAGACCACCCTTGGGCAGAAACAAGCAATGACCTTGTTGACTGTTTTGAGTTAGATGACAACAACAACAACAGCATTTGGTAAATGAACTCAATTTTTTTTGGTCCAGGAGAAACTTATTTTGTTTGACTTGGAATATTCTGTGGGAGAGAAAGGAAACAAATTGTGTTAAAGTATTTAAAAATGTATTGAGTTCCTTTTAATTCTCAGACTGAGACTGGCAAAAAAATATCAGTCTAGATTGAAGACTAACTTCTTCCCAACAGAATGATTTAAAAGGAATGAGAAGCAGTAAGGAGAGTCACACTGCCAATCTTAAGAACCCAAGGGAGATTTTTATAAGTGTCATTTTACATCAAGTAACCAGAGAGAGATATTACTTAGATTCAAAGTTAAAAGTTCTATGATTGGAAGTCTTAGTTTCTATTACAAAATTATGGATTGCATGACAAATTTTCTAAAGTTGCAATTGGCTCACTTTCACTTTATGAAAAGAGAATATTGAACTTACAGTGTAATCTAAAGGAGTTTGTTAACTCAAGGAGTATGTATTTTCCATGAAATGAAAATTCTCTAAAGAGAATATCTTTGTATCATTACAGTCACAAAAATAATTGATATTTTAAGTTATTATTAAAGAATGTTGCTTGTAAAGCTGCAGTATTTTTGAAAGTTTGCATAGAGAATGTTTAATTATTATTAATTCAATTTAGGTATTACCTTGCTGTTCGTGTATATTAGACACATAGGGTTGAAAAATTAATTTATAGCTTTCAACTGCTATATCATTTACCTCCATTGGAAGGCAAGTGTTGGTAATAGTCTTGATTGTCTATTACAAACAGTAGTAAGTATCGCGAAACAGTTTAAGAGGTATAAGTCAAACTACTGTATAAATCCAAAGATATGGATGTGTGTACATAAACACTTGAAAAAACCTATAGGGAAATCTACCTGAAATATTTATGAAATCATCATGTAATCTGGCGTTTGATGACTTCAATGCAAACTGATAGCCATTTTAATTATAGCAAGATTACACTTAAATGAGAAACCATATAGTAGTTTTTAGAGGTACACCTGAATTCACAAATCAGCCTCATTAAGGTACCCTGTAGTTAAATAGGATCAGCAAAACTAGATTAGTGGAGTTCAATAAGGATAAAGGCATAGTACAGCTTCTTAAACTAAAGATTTCAAAACTTGGCATGCTCATATTTTTTGTCCAAGAAAATATGGGTTATACTTAATTTTAGAAAATTTCAGCATACCTTTCTAGTGAGTTCTCTAAATACACTCTGTTCAAAAAGTATAGTAAATACAGAAAACTAGTAAGAAATATTTTAAAATCCAATTTCCAAAGAGATTGCTGCCCTAAATTATTTAAGGATACGTAAGTGTCACACTGAACTTGCTTAGGTTTGTAATATATACATACTTGAGTGTACTAGAATAACTGTGTGTTTCTTATCAATGTGTGAGAATGTTTGAATAAAAACTACGAGTGTGAATTTTGACTGATAGCTGACGATGTTGTCTATCTATTGTTGACTCCCTCTCCCTAATTTTATAAGCATAAAAGATGAAGCAGGTACAAATCCAAAACTCACCCTCTAACACTCCACTATACATCCTATATGCACATCACAACACATTTCCGTGGTTTATAATGCTGACATATTATCACTTCTAATACTGGATAGATCATTCCAAAAACTGTTACAGACAAATCAAACTTAAAGTTTTTCAAAGTATTGAGAAAGTTATAATGTTTTATGAAACTACTGAGAAAGTGCAACACAAAAATCCTGTAATGTAATAGTTTCATTCATTTATCATTGACCAATCAGTAACAAGACATTCTGTTGAGTGTATAACAAAACTTTGATTACTGTGGGTCTGAATTACATGTCACAGTCATTCAAGTTTAACCATACTTTTATTTACGTAGGGAAGTAACAAACTACTTAATACGTTGGTGTCATTTCAACTTCAGTGAACACATCCAAATATTTGATACATCAATTCATTACTGTTGTGAAATTAATTCTGACACCTATACATCTATTTAACAAATAGATTCCAAGTTGCAGTGCATCTGTTCAGTAATAGATCACAGATGATGTCAAAATGTGGTAAGAACAAAAAAGTGGCACACAAGGCGCAGCCAAGTGTGTCAATGATGTTCTTACCACATTTTGATGTCCTCTGTGATCTATTACTGAACAGATGCACGGCAACTTGGAATCTATTTGTTTTATATAAAAAAGAATTAAAAAAAGTTTCAATGATGACATCATCTATATGTCTGTCCTCCAATAGATCATAAGTGAGAACCAATCAGAATGAGTGCATAACTGAGCTTATTATATAAATATATATCTCTCTCTCCATGATATATACATAATAATTTGAATAAACAAAGAATATTCAGAAAAGAAAACTTATGGATACTTGTTACACTTATCAAAGAAAAAGAGACTTATAATAATCCTTCTAAGGAGCCACATATAAATTCTGTTTTCTTTTCTCAACAAATAAATGTAGCTTGTTCTTCACTTTACTAAAAGTACCCCTAGCTTAACTAAATTGCTATGTTCTGCTTCTGAAGTAACACTAGTTTATTATAAATGGAGGGAAAGATACTGAACAAACCTTGATTAAAAATGTAAGAAACAATTTATCAACAATAATCCTAGATAATACTAGGAATTAAAAATTGTTAAAACTATACTGTTGTATTATGATGTATAGATTGTAGTATTTGCATCACATATGTATTGTCTATGGGCAAAATCATAAAAATTTGAAATTGAAATGCTATTTAGTTCTGCTCCTATTCAATTAAATGTTTTATTTTTTGTCTAAAAGGTATTAATAAAAACAAATAGTCCTATTGATAACTGTGTCAGTTCAAATTTATAAACAAGGGTTACAACTTAAGGGCCAATAGGTCTGGAGTAATAAATAAATTGAACTGAAAAGCTTCCCTATCTTTTTGATCGAAAATACATATCTGATGTCGAAGAACTTGATTTTGTTGTGATGGCAGGTCTTAACTTTGCAATACAGACAGACTGTTAACAGCAAAATCCCACACCTACAGACCAGAAAAATAATTTACATAAAAGAAACAAGTGGGTATTAATAAAAAATTGAGAATGAAGGATTGTGTATGATAGAGACAAAAATGATCTATGGAAGACCATAACAGGAATGATGAAAATAACAACTTAGATTAGCCACCACAAAAAGTCTCAAAGCTGAAATTTAGAGCATTAGTCCTTTGCTCTGACAAAGGGATAATGCTCCAAACATCAGCACTAAGACTCTTTAAGGAGGACAATTTACCATATCTGCTCAGTAATGATAATACTAAATTACCCTGTTATACTCTCTCACTAACATAGATCCACAGTTTCTTTAGAAACTTACCCCCTTTATTCATTTGATGGAAATAATAATGATGAGAACAAACTAAGATAAAAAGCTTCTGAGTTAGTGCTAGACAAAAAATTACCATGATGATAATAGATTACCTTGATCTCTCCAGAAGAGTCACCACTAATAACCCACTGATCATTGAATGTAACACAAGAGACTCCAGAAGTATGATCACCAGGAAGGGTTAACTGACAATCACCATTTTCTAAGGACCAAACCTATATTTACCGAAAAAAAATTGTCTGAATGGCTGGAACAAAAATGAACAAAGGTTATAATCATGATGTTCTTTACAAGTGGCTGGTCCTGACTAAAAATGAAGTCTGTAAATAAAGTTTGTAAACTTAAGAAAAATGTTCCTGAAGTTGTTTATGACTGGTTGTGCATGAAGTTAGAATCTTTAAACATCAAAAATGGTTGAATTTCCCAGTGGTTTATTTATCAATATCCACAAATGGAAATGGCTTTCTCTAATACTACTGACCCCAAAATTGATGTCACCTGTGATGCATCACTGAACAGATGCAACACGGAACATCTTACAGTACCCAATTATACCAAAAATCACCAGCACTTGAAATTTAGAAAGAAGAAACATGGTAAATGAATGCTTAATATATCAAAATGCACACATGTTACCTTAACAGTTCTGTCATTTGATCCACTAACAACCTTATGCATATCTACATCTGTACACGTCACAGCACCTGACCAGCATTATTGTTAATAATAACAATAATTAGTTAAGAGTTACACTCTTCCATCATTGTAGTTAAATGTTACACTCTTCCATCATTTAACAACTTATCATAAGCTTAACTAAATAGTATTCACACAAAAACTAAGTCACTGGGTGTGGAATTGGGTTTTAGCCAAGTTTGTAATAACTTAAAAAGTTAAGATGATTTCTAAGTTTACTTGAGGTTTACCAATGTCCAGTGCAATAAAGTATTACAAATACCTGTGTGTCCAAATAGAATGTGCCTAGAACATTGAGTAGCAGTGTCCCAAAGTGTAATAGTGTTGTCATTTTGTCCAGAAGTGACCAGTTTTGTACAAGGACTGATGGACAGGCAAGATACAGATGTTCTGGAGCCCATTTGCTGTAAAGAGAGACAACAATCCATTGTTATAAAATATAACTTGAACCATTTTGAGGGTGAGCTTAGCAACTGGTTAAACAATAACTTGCCAGTGATGTTTGCCAATTAAAAAATCAGCTTTTTTTTTCAGAGATAACTTCTTACCTCTTTTTGTATTCCTGTCCATGTTTGCATTTTGGCTGTTACACAATCTTCATCATCATCAACAGATTCTTCAACAGGGGGGAATATAACTATTATTAAGCAGTTATTGTCTATGAATAACATTGACTCAAAATTAAGAATAAAAAGAGAAGAAAAGGACACTTGGATGTCAAACCATATTATATCATGAACTGTATTACCTTCCTCAAAAGTGACTCCAGGATCTTCCTCAATGAGTGAATGACCTTGAAATCTTACAGTCTGATGAAAATCATCGCAAGTAAATTTTTTAAAGGATACAAAACATTTACCAGTGCTCATTTATCCCACATTTCACAAGATCAGCCATGAAATTACTTTTTAAAAAACCAAAATGTAAAAAAATTGACCCTACGTACTTTCCTCTGCTCTGCTTTATTGCCACAGAAGCTGGGCTATTGCCTTATGAATTTCCTTTAAGCTTTTTAACTCTTCATTGCAAATAAAAAAGTGTTTGTCCTCTTTCTCTGTAGGGTACCATTCAGTAGGTTTAGAGTAACAAGGTTCACTATCTATCCCTCTTTTCTGTTATCTGTTGCATAAAACTCCTGAAGAATTTGCACAGAGTCTCCTCTACATACTTTTCAATACTTTAACATAGCTGTTTTGAGAAGCCATAGACTTTCAGACTTTCAGCAAGTTATTTGTGCTTTGTTGAGTGTTTTTGTTCCTAATGTTCTCCTTCAAACACTGATTGGGCAGAGGCAGAATGTTCCTACTTATTGCCATCTGTTTGCCATTTTTTACTGCTCTACTTTTTGCAACTTTCTTGTCAATCTATTTAATTTTGACTTCTTGTACTGTTTGGGATTAATTAACATGTTCTCTATAAATGACCAAAGTGGAAAATTTCCACATGTATCACTGAATAGGTCCATAGCTTATTAATCCCTGATAATTCATAATTAATAGAAGATTCACAATTGTGCCATGAAAGTGGGATGGTAGACAGGCAAGAGGGTCTGTAACCCTATGTTCAAAATAACAGTTGAGAGCAATTAAAAGTTTCCTTGTACCTGAAAACCAATGAGATTCCAGTTTTCTAGAACTTCTGCAGCATGTGAAATGGACACAGACCAGACATCATTCCCTCCATTCTTCAGTTGAATGTCTAGAACAGAACACCTAAAGGTGAAAAGAAAACAAGAACATAACTAAGTTGTAATTAGCTTTAAGTTCAAATGTTTCTAAATCAATATGAATTGTACTTTACCAATATAGAGCTAGTGACATGTCATCATGAAGGAAAAGAAATGCTACAATTTTGCTGAATCTAAGTATCATTTAAGTCTAAACCATAACTTTTTCTTTAATCATAGGACATGTCAATGGCACAACAATTGCCTGTCTTTAATTACTCTTAATTAGAAAAATTTCAAGAAAAAGCCTATGATTTAAAAAAAGGGGTGTTTAAAGACATCCCAGAGACTTCTTTCTCAAGATGATACAACTTCAATATTTACCTTGGTTTAAAGGTTGCAAGGGTATGCAAACAAGTACAAGATATTGGTCCCAGCTGATTAAGATCCAAGTGCCACACTTTGACAACACACTGAGAAGTAACAGTAGCAAGTTTATTATCCACCAGATTGACCCGACACACAGCCATAGCAGGTGGGAAACCAGTATCTCTTGGACTCTCTATTTGATCCCTTGCCACTTCTGTTATATTTGTTCTGCTTAGGATAATACTTCTCTTGCGGAAGTCCCAAAGAATGAACTAGGAAACAATAAGTTTCAATTTTTAAATTTAGTTATATAGCATGACTGATATTTTAAACATGTACTGGGAAGACAGAATAATTCCATTAAAGTTATGCTTACAGTCTTTCATTCAAAAGGTTATTACAAAACTTTATCTTTTATCTCAAATAAAACATATTCTTACCTTGTTTCTATAGAGACCAATAGCCAGAAGGTTTTGTGAGCGTTCATTTCCAAAGTCTACACAACCAATAACACTTTCACACTGTACAATATGAAGAGACTTCTTGTGAATCAAACTCCACATATGAACCAACTTTGAGTCTTGGTTGACGCTTGCTAAAACACTCCCACCACAGTTTGATATTTTCAAGCACACAACTTTGGTGGGTTCAGTTTTTTCTTGGTTCATTGCCTTTTTATGAAGACTTTGAACATGACAGTGTCCACTTAACCAGTTTGACCGAGTAATAAACAATTCTTTCCACTGGGTTGGAAACAAATTCTTATAGTAGGAAGAATCAGAAATGAATTTGTCAAATGATTCTATAAACAACTTTTTCCATCTGTAAATAAACGGGTAGTTGTTTATTAAGGAAAGTGCAGCCTTTTATTACTTTGGTTAATGAGTATAGACTATTTAACGAAGGTAGGATAAAGTGACCTGTCCTAAAGTTAAATAGTAACCTTGACTACGATATAAGCTTAAAAAATACGTCAAGTAAATCGATAATAAGTGAAAACAGATTTACGCGAAACAACAGAAGAAGTGTTTCGCCATCTTGAGCTTGTCTGAAGCGTTAAATGCCCAGCTGTTCCTGAACTGAGAAATAAACCTCGGAAAGGATACAAATGAAAATCGTCTGAAAGACGACACCAACTAGAGCACACCTAAAGTAAAACAATAATTACGGTACATGTTCAACATCTCCGATAAATTTAAACTTTCAGTGAGAGACACCGTATGCTGGAAATATCAAACAACTAACCATATTTCTCACCTGGGAGCACCTACAAAGATCTCGAGCAGATAAGAAACTAAAAATCCTTACTAAGATTTCATCACTTAACTTTTCCATCCCGATTATTTTAATAAGGATTACGAAAGTACCGCTTTACACCAAAATTTCGAATGTCACAGTCTGCGCAGCCATGTTCTTGTTTACGAAACATGATGGAGTAGTACTGGAATAAACTTGTTCCCAGGGACCTATCATTATTTGGCGGCTCTTAAGTCTGTTACTACCGCGTGCGATCCTTTTAGAAATATGATTTTTTTTTCTCTTTCTTTCCACTGATTAGCTACTCTCACATGAAATTACATTGGTGTATATTTTCAAAGATTCACGAAAATGAAGCTAAAATAACTTACATGACTCTGAAACCCACTGATATTCTTATATTGAATTTATTAATCGTGTTAAAATGGTCATTAATTCTCTGATCAGATTTTCGCTCCCTGACAAAATGGGATAATTTTTCACAGAACTATTTTATTGCAGGAAATATAGTCTGTCCGGAATACATCATCTTTTGATCTGACCACTGAATGCTGAAACTTACGACAAATTAACAAAATAAAAGATACACTTTTCCATAGAGGATTACTAATCAAGAAAAATGATCGCTCTTTCTCTGTGGCAAGCACATTAGTAATGCCTCTAAACAAAGAAATGTTTGAAGTTTATGTTTCATCGAGAATCGACAATTGTGAATGAAAATGGGCGTGCGATTAATTGACAGAAAGCCGGAAAATGCTTTCATCGTGTAATCTCACAGTTTGCCATTCCTTGGAAAGCAGAACAATGATGGTCTTTCGGGGACAACAAAAAAAGCTGCAACTACTGGCTAATTATCTAAATGATCTCACAAGGAAGGCGACAGATCTTTTAGTTCAGGACATGACAGTTGTCGCTGGAAGATGTTTGAACGTGATGACCAAAACGGATCTAAAAACACAGCAAAAAGACCAAGGCCGATTAAACAAAAAACGCACTCAGCTGTTAATGGGGAACTTACAAGAAAGATCAGTCCTCATCTTTATAGTTGGTTTCTTTTCTCTGATATTCGCTATAATTCTGCTTTGCTTTTGCCTTTTTACTCTGTACAATTGTTTTTATGGGAGAATGATGAGAAAACACTCAGAAAGGAAAGATTCAGAGCAGACCCAAAGTACAGATATTGAAATCAACGGCCAGTTGCTTCAGTCCGCTGGGGATAATGAAGAACTCCTTCCTTTCAGACACGAAACCAGAACTACTGAAACAACCGGACTTTAACTTAAACAGAAGAATTTATATCAGGAAGAACACCACATACGACAGTACGCAGTGAAAAGCAAACTAGAACACTTAATAATACAGTCAAAGTTTAGATTGTTCTCACTTTAATCATATCAAGTGAATGGACTGATACATACGTAACATGGAGTTGCTATACTGACTCGCATTCAACTCAACTCACTCAAGACTCATTTATCCAGTAAAACCAGGAACTATACGATAAATCGTGAAAACAGGAGAATCTTTGTACAGAATAATTCGAAATTTTCGCTTCGATGTAGCATAAAAGAATGGTTGAACTCTTTCATCATCTTTAATGTGACACAATTTTATGATAAACTGCTGATAGTCTGGTCTGTCAAGAAGCTGTGTCTTGATGACCACAGTTCCTTTACTTGATGGACTTATTACCTTTAGAAATTGCTAGACATCTAAATCATTGCTTACAATATCAAAAAATAGTTTGTCTGTGGATCAGTGGGGATTTAGTTAGAATCAATTTAACTAACTCAACATATTCTATGGTAAGACTTCTCTTTCACAGGCATGTAACGATTATAAACCAGTGAAACAGAACCTGAATGAGGAAGACATTCCTTCTAGTTTGTTTCGAACTTAGGTCTCCTAGGTAGACCATTTAAAGCTGAAACTTCCAGAGAAATCTCCCGAGGGGAATGAACTTAAAACACAAACGAAGTTCCTTTTCCCCTTTTTAACAAGCTTGGTTTGGTTTTCGAACTCTATTTTCTTTGAGAAAACAACAATCTGAAAAGAAGGTTTGCTTTTCAATTTATTTTAAACCTTTCACTCCTGGGAGGGACCGAAGAGTAATTTCTCAAAGACAGGTGACGAGATTTAAGAAAAATACTGACTATAGACTTCGAGAAGTGAAAAAAAGAAGTTTAGTGATAAGAAAGCAGACAAGAATCTTCAAAGAAATATCCTCCAAAACTTTTGATCATGATTATTAAGTATACAGTGAATAGCTAGATCCCAGACCTCTCCACTCATACAGTTAGATATGGACAGCCCTGAGAACGAGAGAGTTAACCCTCCAACCCAAAGGTATTTCAATTTAAATTCAGTTTCGTTTTGAGCATGCACGACTCTAGTACAAATTAAGATTTTTCACATAAGCGCCGGTGAATGGCGTCTTATACATCAATAATTTTTCTTATATTGTGTGGAGTTTTCTTGCTGATTTTCCTTTCGTCTCTCATCTTCCTGCTGTACCTATGCTTCCGTCGAGTGTACATTGCTAAAATCCGCTTTGAAATCGTTGACGTGGAGGGAAAGCAGGGAAATAATCAAGTTAATAACCACCATTCAGGGCTTTGGAACGAAACAAGTACAGCGACATGTGCCATGAAGAATGATTGTCACAGTTCTTCAGCCATGATGGAATCCACGACAGTGGTAAATAAGGAACATGTACGGTTCACAATTCTTTAGCGAAACTTTTCTCTTCTGCTCATTACAATTTATATCCAGGGTCTGTGGAGTACAACGAGGAGTCGAGGAGAGCAGCTGGCGTTGATTTATTGTCATTAAAAATAATGTATACGGGTTTATGAGTGGATGTGACGTTATTTAATGAGATACTCGGGAAAGAGGAGGCGTTGTGAAGAGATACTCACCGATAACATCAATATACAACTGGTGATGTTATCATAAGTACACATTTCTCTCATCGCAGAGTAACACACAGACGCACGTTGTCTGATGCGAAATCAAGGCACTGAATGAAGCTCAGGGAATATCAGAATACCAGAAACTATTCAATTTCTTCAGTTTAGCTGAAGATGAAGAGGCAGCTGTGTTGGTTAATAATTGAAAAAAGGGATTAACACTTCATTTATATAAAAATCAAATAATCAGACCTCAGAAAAACTGATTTTCAATTTCTAGCTTTGTACTACTTAATTAAAAAAAGGATACCTGTCACAGTCTCTCAAGTAATTGATTTTTTCCCTAGCGCTTTAAGCACGCCACGAATGCCGCATGTAGATTTATTTCTCAAAAGCTAGACGGTAGCAGTTTCCAGATATTATAGGCCATACCTTTCCTCACCAACGTCAGACAACGGAAAAAATTTGAGTGTCCTATGCGGAAACGAATATCGGAAATTCGAGTTTCGCAGTCGAATGCTCTACTACTAAGCTAGTATATGCATGATCCCGCTGGACTGACTGTCTAATACACATTAGCTGCTTATTGGTAGAGTATAACATTGTGATATTCGTTGGTCTCGGGGTCGATTCCTGGTAGGGAACTCAGATTCCATTCTTTGTCCCACAGCCGTAACAATACGGATGATATCCAAATTCATTCGAAGACCAAGCTCCAAGTTTACTATCTTTCCTTAAAATTAAAATATGAGGATTTTTTTATATTTACATAGGATACCCCTACTATTGACGAGCTGAAATAAAAAAAATATAATCACAAATGAAAAAACGGACTTTATACGGATTTCACGTATGTAAATGTAATTTTGCGCCCAATATGAGTTTTTAATGATATAATTAAGATGCGTTATTCGGTCCATGGAGGCCATCTGTTCTTTTTTCTTCCACTTGTGACCTTTCTGTGTTACATGATTACACATCCTTTGTTAATTCTCTTCTTTCTTTGCCATGCTGAGCTTGTCGTGCATGGAATTGCATTTCGTTTTCAGTAGATACTAAACATATATATTTTTCATTGGACTTCAACAATTCGAGATTTTTGAAGTCCGACAAGAAATACTTTTGACAAGCAGAAATTAAACGTACATATGGGGTTATTGAAATCTGCAGCTTCCAGCTGGTTAGTAATATTATTGTTCCGTGTGTCAATTTGGACCTATATACATTTAATTTGTCTTAAAGATCCCGACCGAGGAAAAAAATAAATTCTTGTCTCTTTATTCGCTTTAAGAGAGAATTAAATAAGAAACAAATTCCCAGTCAGAGCTCAAATCAAAATTCAACTTAACTGACGACTGCTGCCTTTAAACTGAAAATCGATTCAAGGCTAATGTAGCTCGGTGCCAGTGAGGAATAAATTTAAATAAGTTAAATTGCTTTAAAAAAAAAGACATGACGAATGATCTATAATACGAATTATCTCTGCTTGGTATACACTCGTAGCAAATCAGTTAACATCTTTCTCCATGAATCTTTTGTCGAGCGAAACATTTCAGTTTTAATACTTTCTCCTACAAAAATAAAATCAAGAGAAATCTCCGCTAAGGGTTTGATGCAACGGACAACTTCCGTCTCAACTCAGCACTTGGCATCAAAAGTGTTTCTCGTGCCTGCAGATCTGAACTTGATGACCCTCAGGGGTTGTAATTGACTACGTAGATGGCGGTTCTCATATTCTTTAATGGTTTCTTGTGCTAAAACACATCAAAGGAAACAACCGACAAAAAATTAGGTTAGGACACCGTGAAATATTCCCATAAATTGCCCTGTCGCTTAAAAATGGAAGGTTTTCCCACTAAAGTTAAACTTCAAGACGACGGACAAACATAGCATAGCCGTGACCGGAAAAATATTTTATACGGAATCTGTGGCGCAAAATAGAAAGAGCAACTTAGCTAAACAAAAAAATTCACATCAGACTTTATGGGTCAATTGATTTACAGACGACCTCATTAAGAGTTTATGTCCCTTTTTATGAAGTATCAGTCCGCTTTTCATTTAGCATTTTCAGAGTGTAGAACGCTATTGATGTACCATAGAACCAGGAACTGATCAGTCTTGCCACCTGCCTTGACAAGTTGCATTGAAAAACTGCCAACGTAAAATTCGTGGAAATGAAGAAGTATATCTAATAATGTGCGATGATAAAGGTCTTTTAGTTTTCACAAAGAGGGCGGCCGGCAATGTTGCA